AAACTAGACTAAAAAATATTAAACACTTTTTATTATACCGTCATTGGTTCAAGAGAAATTCAGCCGCGCCATCTAAAAAGGACACGCTGTATTCTCAATACCATAAACCTTAAAAAGTCAAAAAATTTACCATTGTGTTATTTTCTCACCCTTTGTTAAAAATCAACAAACGAATCGGTAATTTTATTATTTGAAAAAAAAAAAATTATATAAGAGTATGATAAGTGGATAAAATCGACTGATGGTTGGTGAATAGGCAATGAATCATTGCAGATTAAGACTTCAATTTTGTCAAAAAAGCACACGAAAACTTTTTCTTAAAGGGATTAAGCTCCTTGTTGTAAAAAAAAATCTATCCTTATCTCAAAAATACGTTGAGTAATGCTTCCAGGGGTTGGCTGACGTTTATCCTTGGGGGTGGGCGTAGGAGGCGAGGGCGATTTTGTGAATCGCCGACACTGTGAATGGTGCCCCACCAATTTGACGTCACCACCTCTATAAAAGCCACCCCTTTCTCACCCGGATGCACAGAAGATCGCCCCCAACCGTAGACTCTGGTCGAACAGCTCAAAAAAACAATAAAGAAACAACACTCAAAGTAAGGAAATTTGTTAAGCTGCAAATAGCATTTGAATCGTAGAGCTTGTTTTATAATTTGGATAATTTAATTAATTTTGTTTTTTTAAGGACGTACGATTTTTTAGTTTCTTTGAAAAAATTCCAGCAGCTTCTAAAATATATGTATATTTTTATCGTACATTTTATATCATTTTAAATTTTCAAATTAAAATGATTCAATTACATCATATTTACATTCCATGCTTTCTTAATAGAGCAAATTAGTGGCAGAAAAAAAGTGCCAGAGCATTTTATTAAAAGAAAAATTAGGAAAATTTAAAATTTAAATTGGACTTATTTAAAAAAAAAATTTGCTTTCCACATTGTAGTTTTCAACAGTAAATTAAGATTTCAAGTAATTATGTAATAAAGTATAAAATTGGTTTAAAAAATTGTTCAGCGGTTGTCAGCTAATGAATGATCTGGAGATCCATTCCTTGGATTTTGAGTGTAAAAAAATCAATTATATTTAAGTGTATAATTTTTCCTATGTTTAAAACAACATTAAGGAAGCGACCCATTGCTTAAAAAAAATAATGGGCAAAGTAAGGAAATATACGAGAGATGGATTTAGGGAAGTGTGATTGGTCAAAAAACTTTACTTATAACTCTACTCATTTCCATTCACTGTCATTTTGGATCGAACCAAATGAGGAAAAAATCAAAAATTTTCCCCCTCCTACCAAATAATCCCGAGAGCATGTGCTTTTTTCACCGTAGAACAGGCTGACAGTAATCCATCCGTTAATTTTTTAAATGATATAATATTTAAAGCAATTCCTTTGACAACCAACTTTTTGGCTGTTTCGTTGGAGTTGGCTCGTACAGCGTAGCTATTAGATAGATGATCGCCCTGGGCTTTCCTTTGCATCCTTTGCAGATTGGTGCTTTGAAAGCAACTCTCATTGAATCCTCTCGGTTGTACCGCCTGTTAATCGCCTTCTCAAATGCCGCAATATCACAAGGATTTCCACACCTCATCGTCATTTTCAAGAAATTCAGTTTGTATGCAAGTAGCCATCCGACGGTGCCCATTATGCAATCCACGTGCAAGAAAGTTGTTTATGGCAGAATGGTCAATCTTCCACGGGAAATTGCATTCTAGACTTTTACCCTAACGAAGCAGTTACTCGGCCTCGCTTACAATACACACGCCATGCTTGGTTGTACAAATATGAAATGGTTCAGGAATCGAATTTGTTCTGTTATATGATCACTTTCTCTCGAAAATAATCCTTAATTTATGATGGGGGGGGTTTCATTTTGAAGTTGGGACATTTTGGTCAAACTTGCGTGATAAATACGTTTCCAGACGAATAAATTTGACGTATTCTATACTTACAAGGATATGAAAAAATATAAAAACACCTAAATTTTTATATGAAAAAATGGCATGTTAAAAAATTATTTCAAATTTGTAATTAATTAAATAACATTAAACCAATAGCTTAGACTTCATTATTCTTTATTTAAAATTAAATTGTAATTTGTGGAATTGGTAATATAAAAGAGGAAAAATTATTATTTTTTTCCAGAGGTCAAGGAAAAAGTTTATTACCTCGCTATATTTTATTAAATTTAATATTCAGCCCTTCGTGGCAACTTTGAAATTAACCTTAATTCCTTTTAATTCCTAATTTATTGGCTCATCAATTTTAATGACACTTATTTTGTTGATAATAAGTTGAAAAATATTAGACGCGCGTCCTAGTGTTCTTGCTAATTTTTAATCATGGTTTTCTGACTTCGTTTTGCATTTTCATATTTCAAGATTATTACACTAGCCGTATCTTTTCTTTTAAGTAGAGTAAAAAAGTATGCAGGATCGAATTAAATGATGATGTATGAAAAGTTACGAAAACCAACATAAGCCCGACCATAAGTAACAACCACCACAAGTAACGAAACGTAAACCAACATAAGTAAAAAAAAAATTGTAAAAAAAATATTTGGATTTGTATTAAACACCCTTTAAAGCCCTTAAGTACGATTTTTAAAGCAAAAAAAAGACATTTTTTGGGCTCGATCAGGACGCGATTTTTATGTTCGGTGTTCCACTCGAAAATTCAAACTCCTCTGGATTTTATGCAAATTAAACGTTATTACATCCATGGGAAAGGTTGACATTTTTTCTTTTAGCCTACATTAATTAGATTTTATATCATTATAAATGAGAAAAATAATGATGAAATAAACAAAATCTTTTTAGTCATTCTATTTTATATTTATATAGTGTATATATGTATAGTTTTCAATTAGTGAAGGTTTTTAGTTGAGATAAAAAAGTCAATGTCACGAGCGGGATTCGAACCCATCGGCTTTAGACTTATAATTATTTAAATGTAGAATGATGGTTATTTTTTTTAAACTAAACATACCAATTTATTTTTATGCAATATATATGGTGGCCTTTACAAAAATTTGTATTCAGGTTTTTTTGCAGTGCAGAAAACTAATTTCAACTTTGTTTCTTGTTAAAAATTTTTTTTTTAAATACTTCGCTAAAATTAAAAAAAAATCCATCTGCGGCCAAGCAAATTCAAGCCATTATTGTAATATAACACATTATTTTGTGACATTTGTGAGTAATAACGTAGGTTAACATTTTTTTAGCAAGAAATAATGTTGATAGTAGTTTTATGTATCTCTCAAAAAAGAAAAAACCTGAAAAAGATTTTTTTGGAAAATCAACATTTTTCTTCGTCCAAATGCCTCAGTTTTTTGAGAAAACAAAAATATGGCGATAAGTTCGAAGCTGTTCCACCAACCCACTGGAAACTTTACAGGCTTTTATAACCTTATAAACTATACACGAAATGACATAAATTTGGCCCAGAAAATAAATTAGGATCGGAGATATAAGATAATACGTTTTTTTTCTGATTTCATCTTTATTTTTCTCACTTGTAATGATATAAAATCCAAACCTTGTTGATATTGCCTGAAGGAAATATATTTTACTTTTCAACGATTGTAATAACGTTGAATTTGGGTAAAATCCTGAAGTGGTATAAATTTTGAATGGACCTCCAGACACTGGAGAGAAAAATTGACCCTGTCTGAGCCAGTCAAAAACGTCTGTTTTTGTTTGCTACAAAAATTCGTACTTAGGAGCTTTGAATAGTAATTAAAACGTATCCGAAACTTATATTAAACAATTTTTTTGGGTTAATTTACTGTGGGTGCTTTGGGTATTTATAACTTTTTTATATATCTAATCTCATTTAATACGATCTTATATATTATTTTATTATTATATTTAAAAAATAAAACAAAAACGGATATAATAACGTTGAAAAATTATTTATAGTATTTAATTTTTTTTTGCTTCTAGAGAAAATTCGAGTTTTCCATTGAAATATAATACATAATTATTTTGTTATCGATCAACTGACCAAAATATGTTGAATTTTTTTTTAGCAAGAAGGAATGTTAATAGCCGTTTTCTGCACTCCAAACAAGCCATGAGTAAGAATTTTTGAAAAATCAAAAAATATTTGAAAAAATTGAAAAAATATATTTTTAAATTTTTTTGCCCAACTTTATTGAGGACTTGTTTTAGTTTTTGTAACTTTTTATATATTTATTCTCATTTATTTCGATCTTCTCAAAAAAACAAATCGACTGATATATATANATATATATATGTGTAAATATTAAAATACATGCACAACAGAGTCGGAAAATCATATTTAAAAAATTATGTAAATTATTATAAAATAATGTTTTGGCTCCTAGAGCAAATTTGAGTTATCTATTGAAATATAATATAATTATTTTGTTACTGAGCAACTGACAAAAATAGGTTAAATGTTTTTTAGCAAGAAAGAATGTTAATAGCCGTTTTCTGCACATCACAAAACCATGAATAAAATTTTTTGAAAAATCAAAAAATATTTTTAAAAATTGAAAAAATCTATATTTTTAAACGTTATTTTGCCATACTTAACTTAGGGCTTATTTTAGTTGTTGTAACTTTTTATATATTTATTCTCATTTAATTCCATCTTCTCGAAAAAACAAATCGACTGATGTATAAAAATATTAAAAACATGCACAACAAAGTCTGAAAATCATATTTAAAAAAATTATGTAAATTATGATCAAAAAATGTCTTGGCTCGTAGGATCATGGCAAAAGCGCTTGGATACGCATATATTTTTCGAATTTATATCACAAAAAATAAAAAGTTTGATTGAAATTTCCCTTGTTTTACTTCAGTCAATCAATCTGATTTTGTATACATCAATATTTAGTAACAAAAAAATATTTTATTTTATCTTTGGAATTTTTTAAATATAAATATCGGTTTATTAATATTTTTGTGTACTCATTGATTTTTTTTATATTAATAATTCATTTAAAATTGTTTTATTTTCAAGGTATTTTTTGGTGGAAACGATGACGAGAAAAATCTTCGCCGGAGTTTTGGCTTTGATCTTGGTGCTCCAATTGGCCGACAGTAGGTATCTCCCGACGAGGTCGATGGACGACAGGCTTCTCCGGCTGCGGCAGTTACTTAAAGACGTAAGCAATAAAATTATATACTATGATACTAGATATATACTGCATATATATTCAAAAATACAAAAACACAAATATATACAGATGTATAACGAATTGCTAGCTTCGAATCTGTATTGTCCATCAACGATTCTTTAGAAATTTTTGTATTTATTTTCGATTGACTTTGGCTGACACTTTTATTTTAAAGATTAAAACTTTAAAGTTTGCACGTTTTGGACTTAAATTTTGATAAGGGGAACAAACATTTAAGATCTGACAAATTATTCCCTGTTCTTTTCTCCACCTTTACAAACGCAGGTTGGAACGAACCATCTAAAAACTTTAATGTGCATCCATTTTAATTAAAATGAGGCGTAGTGGGAATATCTTAAGTAAATTTACACCAAAGTTGAAAGTAAACAAGTTCAAGTAAGTAAAGGTAAATTTAATAAAAAATATTCCTGTAAAGAAATAATAATTTATGTGTTTAATGCAGTGCATTTGTCGCATAATATATCTATTTAATAGAAAGTACTTGTGACACTTGGTGGTTCACACTGATCCAAATCAGTTCGTAAATTCCCATCGGTCCAAGTTCATGCACTTTTTGCCTTGGGTTTTGTCCGAAAACCCGTGCGATATTGTGTATCGCCGGTAACGGGATTTCCTTTACACCCGTAGCAAATTGTAATTGCAGAAAAACTAACTTGTGACTGAAAACAGGAAGGAGGAGAAACGAAAATCCAACACCTCTGGAACGAACCAACTTGATGCTTTTGTATCCCTCGGCAAAATTTAAACTTGTGCTACATGGTGTCACGAAGTCAGTCGCTTTAATTTTTTCCAAGTTTTCTTTTCAAAGCGGCAAAATCAGACGAGAGGAAAGCAAATGCTTTTACCTCAAATCTGATCACGGTGTTCACTTCATCATAGGCATTACTTACAACATATCGAAGTCGAATGATCCCATTATCCTATGAGGATCTGATCCGTAGAAGTTGGATCATCCTCACCCGATTAAGAAAAAGCCATGCGAGGTATACGGCATGTAGAGAAAGGTTGACTTTCCAACTAAACTGATCGGTGCCCTTCTTTGGCTCCATATAGAGAGCGTGTAGGAATGCCACCCGTATAAAAACCGAGCTTGGGTTTGGCGAGGATTTGAATTCTCCGCCTCGAATTTTGTAGGAAACAGGGATATTTTATTGCATACAGTACGTATATATATCTTGTTTTGGCTTTCCTTCTTGAGATTGAATGTATTTATTGGCGTGAATGAGTAGTGGGAAAGGGCCGATGGTGGAATACATATTGCACCCCATTTAAACCCTCGATTAGATTAGTATACAGAAAAGGGTGCTGGAGTACCTCCCTACTTGAGTGAATGGTATGTAAATAGCAAAGAATGTATTAAGTGTGAGTGAGAGTGTGGGCTTAGATTTAAAAACTGATTCTGAGTTCTGATTCTAACAGACACTGGACTGTTTTACGGTACATAATACTTTTAAATATTTCGATTTATGATTTTTTTGTGAATATTAAGGCTGAATGTATTTAATAGCGTGAATGTACTAGAGGGGTGATGGATTATTGAGTACCTCGTCGACCCACAATACGTTTGTTGTAATATGCGAGGATTAAAAACTAAATAAATAGTTTTCTTTGCTGTCAATTTTTCCATTCTTGTCTATTCAAACGAGTCTTTCGAGTGAGTCATTGTCTAGTAGTCAATTTGTATGCTTTCTAGCGAATCCAAGTGAAAAGGTGGCTAGACTTCCGCACTGTACTTTCAGTTATGCCTTACAAATATTTTTTATACATTTTCTATATATATAATTTTTAAAAAGAATTACAATAATAAAATGGCTGAGTTTTTGAATATGAGATCTTTTGAAAACTTTCAATGCCATTGCCAGTTTCTTCAATTAATGGTGAAATGAAAATTCTTCCAGTGTAGATTAGCCTAGTTTTTCCTTTAACTCATGATTGTTATAATGCCCTGGGAAAAGTTTTGAGCTTTCATAACGGTTCACCGCTAGTGTAATTATTGTTTTTAAACATATTTGAGCTTTCTTCTGGACTATATTTGAATGGATCGTGGGACAGCCTAGTCGTACGGTTTTCTTAATAAGGTAAAGAGTTATGGGCTGATTTAAACGGACATTATGCATAGAAATAGAATAAGCATATTTATACGCCAAAAGCGAATTTTCTCGTGTAATGTGATCTTGTCCAGCCGTTGTGAAATGGATGACAGGTATCAAATGATTACAAAACCAGTTATAAACAAATTTTTAGTTAGACTGTTTGATCGTCTAAGGTTAAAAAAAACCAAGCGAGATTATCATAAATCGAAACTGAATATTTCACCTTGCCTTTCAACTAGCTTTTGAAATAATTTTGTGCGAAACTTGTGGTATTTTTATGACGTCTCATCATGAAGGCTTTGTCTGGTGAAAGACATATCTTGGCCAAAGTGCTTAAGAGTTTCGTAAGGATGGTTCACACAGCCTTTAAATGCCCGGCTTCTTTGGTAATAGGTATTAACGAAACTAATTGAGCAGGAACGTTGCTCAACAAATTGTAGGTTTAAGTTTTTGTCTTTTATTCACATCGTCTGTGCAATTTGGTCCTAATAGCGCATCAAATATACAATAGGCTTACTGGGTTGTTTTTAGAAGGTAAGGTATTTTCCTAGTTAGGAAATGGACGAAAATTAAGTTTTATTACCGGCAATTAAAAAAAACAATAAAAAATCTCTATGATCCGCCATGAAAAGTAGATGAATGAAACCTCTTTTATACTATTTTAACGTCGAATTGACACTAAAATCATATTGAATTGGTCAAATTCTATAAATAATGGAAGTGTATAACTTCTTAAATTAATTTCTCAACACTATTAATAAATTCACTAATTTCGTGGTCCGCTTGACCAATTAATATATTACAATTAATTAAGGTTTTTAGTTGAGATAAAAAAGTCAATGGCACGAGCGGGATTCGAACCCACGATCTTCGGCTAGATACGCCGCTGCTCTACCACTTGAGCTATCGTGACCACGATCTAGCCGAAGATCGTGGGTTCGAATCCCGCTCGTGCCATTGACTTTTTTATCTCAACTAAAAACCTTAATTAATTGTAATATTGGTCAAGCGGACCACGAAATTAGAGAATTTAATAAATTAAAATGAAGTATACTTCACTAAAGCTCTTCTTGGCCATTTCATTTGTCGCCGAGAATCCAATCCGATTACACGACATTTGAAAAATGGCAAAAAGGATGGAAAATTCAAAAGGTGCTGTTGAGATGGGAAGTTAGTGTCCGAGTGGATCGAGTGGTTGAGCAGCGGCGTATCTTGCCGAAGGTCGTGGGTTCGAATCCCGCTCGTGCCATTGACTTTTTTATCTCAACTAAAAACCTTAATTAATTGTACTATTAATAAAATGCAAATAGAGGAATCATTTTCATTTGGGTGAGGGCACACTGAAGCAGACGTGAACCTCGTATTGGGTAAATTGGTGGAGTGACACAAGGCAACGTTTGAGTTCTCAAAGTTGGACTGTCTGTTTTATAGAATTTATAATAACGTTTACCATTTTTTTTTAAATTGTCCTATACATTATAAGGAAAATTCCCATCCATGAAACTTTTAATTGATAAGTTCAGATTAATAGTCTACAAAATTTGTGAAGGAAGCGGTCTTAAGGTCGATTACCCTTGGATTTTTTTCTCCAATGCACCAGATAGTTCGTTGAAAAAAAATCCACTTTTAATGAGGGGGGTGAAAAAATTAAAATCTAAATAATTATAACAAAATACACTTTCTTTCCTCTTATATTTATAATCGGATTTTTAGCAACGTTTTTAATTTAGAACATAGTGCAAAAGTTATCTTTACACCCCTTAAGTTATTTTTAAATGATAACATGGAACTAGGACAATTTTTTATGCCCAGTGAACGGATGAGGTAACCCGAATTTCATTTTCCAAAATTTTTATTAGAAAAATAAACTACTTACGTAAACTGAATTCATTTTTCCTGTACAGGGTGTCCCGTGAACAGACGTCCATACATATCCTACATGCCAAAATGGACTTAAAAGTCCCTATTGTCCAAAGACTGATTGGCAATTGTATTCTAGATATTTCACATTTTAAGTTAATTCAACTTTCCACAACTTTATTCCATAAATTCTCTCATGTTCCATAAAATGTTAATCCTACTGAAAATTTGATTGTCCCAATGAAAAGAGCATTGAAAACCCTGAGAGATTCATTTGTTTTTTTTTTTCTGTGAATTTAAGAAAATAAAATCATTTAGAAGTTTCACTTTTACTAGTTTCGTAAGTTCTTATCTGAAATGTAAGAAAGCTTTTCTTGGTTCTGTAAATACTGACAGTCGTTGCGCTTACAAAACGTTGCTCCTACTAATGAGCTGTACTTAATTCTTTTAAACGTCCACTACCACTTATTGCTTATCACTAGTAACTGATCATATGGTGATACATTTTTTAATATCTAATCTAGGTTTAGTGGTACTCAGGATACTAAATATTTTCGCTTTATTCACTCTAATAAATACATTCATGTTAAACCTAACTTTTCACACGGTATATGCAATTGAAAAGGCCGTGCCTCAAAGGTATGTGATAGCATGGATTCTCGTCTTCACTCACTCCATGAACTACTTTGGTCAATTTGTACTTTATAGTCCGCCACAATCCTACACACACATTCTCAAAATCTCACATTAATAAATACTTTCAAATAAAAACGAAACTTTTCAAACAGTTTGTACTTTTACAAACCTACACATGCTCATAACAACAAAATTCACTATATTTCTTTTTATATTTATAACCCCAGAGAATCTTTAGTAACGTTTTTAGTTTTAGACTAGACTAGTTTTTAGTTTAGAACATATCATGCCAAAGGATTTTAATCTTTACACCCTAAAGTATTTTTAAAAAAATACTGTGGTACTAGAACAGATTTCTTGGAATGGATAAGGTATATC